AACAGCATGCTGGGACTGACACTAGAGATTATCCTGGAGCAGACTTTTAAGAAATTTCCCAGAACACACTGTCTATCCCAGAGAAATGCTGAGAGACTGAGTTACAAGGATGCTGGACGAAGGTACTAAATGGGAAAAGTGAACATGTAAAGACATACTTAGGGCCACTTTCTCAAGGCATGGTTCTTAGCACCATGGTGTTATTGCCAAAGGCCAGGTAAAAGACATGTTATATGACTTTCCAAATGCCTTGGTTACCATAGCAGATGGTAAAAGATAATGAAAACAGTTGGAAAATACAATGAGAAACAGTTCAGATTCCTTGGAGTGAACAATATTCATTTCTAGTTTTATATCAAAGCTATGTTAGCTCGCCCACCCTCTGTCTTAATATAGTCCAAAGAGATCTGGGCCATCTGGACACCATACATAATGTCACATCAAACTTTACATCAATTAAACAAAGGTATGGTTGGAATGCTAGAAACCTTGATTGGAAGTGGGGCATGCAGCAAACCCTGCAAAGATTTCAGGATGGGTCACTTCAGTAACACTTCTAGGAATCATATGAGAATGGACAGGAATTAGTAACATTTTTGCATGCTGACACACATCCACAAAGGAAGTCACTGAACAATCGCTTCAGCCAGTTGTCATTAGTCACTCTTCAAAAGTGGGTATGAGGGATGTGTAGATGGAGTGACTACAGTGGCAGAGATGGGGATCCATCTATAGGTCCACACCATAAATATCTACTCAACCAAGACCAATCTAACTGCTACTCCCAGCAACTAAAAACTAATATAGGACACTTGATATGGCATTGTTTCCCAAAGAAACCAGTAGGTCTCTTGGTGGCTAGTTGATGATATTGGGCTCTACTTATTCTGAAGGGACCACAGGTTCCTTCTCATAGGTGAAAAGTCCTATTTCAAGTATGGATTTCCCTATTTCCCATTCACAGAGCCTCTAATATCAGTAACATCAGAATCTATCAGACTATGAAGTTCCTGGTTCTTGGGTGCAAAATCTACATAGCATAACCCACACACAGGACATATGCATCAGATCAAAGCAGGGACAGGGTGGGCCCATGCCTTGAGATTCAGAAGCCATATCATAGGCTATACCACCTAGAGACAGGCAGTCTGACAGAGCACTCTGATGGTCTACTGAAGACATAGCTGAAGCACTGGCTGAGAGATCAAAGTCTGAAAAAATGAAACACCGTCCTCCAGAATACAGAACAAATGGTATACTCCTCAAGACAATACATGTATCATGGATAGCAGTATGAATGGAGCCCATTACCATCATTTTCAGTGACCTTCTGAAAAAAAATGTGCTTCCCGTCTCACACTATGAGCTCTTCAAGGTGGAAATTCCATTTGCCCAGTCCAATAGGGGCACACTTGCCAAGAGATAGAGGAAGAGTTCATTGAATTATGGATGCTACCTAGACATTTTGGACTGGTTGTATCCAGGACCAACAGGTAAGAAGGAGAATCACAGTCATGGCCAAAACAGTTAATTCTGATCAATAGAAGTTAGGGTTGTGTTAGGGGATATTTTGATCATACTGGCACAACTAAGACTGGCAATAAAATTTACTTTGAAGCAGAGTTAGCTACTAGCTGACTAAAATTAGTCCTAGAGGTTTTAGAGGACTGAGGACATATAGAGAGATACAGGAAGTAGTAGGGTGGGCCTTAGAAAGATTTTTGGCCCTTTTGAATTGAGTAAGGAGAGAGAGAAGAGGCCACTGATCACTTTTCTACCACTTTTCTAATCATTCAGATTCTTACCCTGAGTTTTTAATTGATAAAGAATAATTACATAAAGGCTTGGGGCACAAAGCTATGACTCTGAGATTAAGAGTGTTATGCTCTACCATGGTCACTTGGTGGTTTATCATTGTTTAGGGGGATTGTTTCTAAGATGTTATTGGTCATAGTCAGGGAGAAATTAAACAAAGAAGATTTAGATTCAGGGATCTTGTTCTGAAAAGAAAAGGGGGGACATAGAAATGAAAGGATAAAACTAAAAAAACAACTAATCTTAAATATTTTACATTGGTATGGATTTTTGTATATACAAATTAAAGTTTATTTTTGCTATACTACTCTTGTTTAAGGTATTGTACCTATGCAGCTCATTTTAAAGTGTAATGTCAAATTGTAGTCCTTAAAGGCTATTATTACAAACTGTTTAAGATAATTAAGAAATGTAGGTTAGTTAGTAGTTAATCATCTATAACAATCAAATTTGCGGCCCTGTTTGGTACGTTCTCAAGGTCAAACACATAATTTAGAAAGATAAATGGTCTTCAAACGCTTCAGAGATGTACAGAATATGAAATGTAAGATTTTTTAATAGTATAAGTATTTTCTGGCAGTGAGGCATGTCTGCTCCTGGAAGCACCAATTAACTTCAAAAAAGGATGATGAGCATCAAAGAACTTCCATACAGAGTTGTTTTTATTGTGGCAAAGTTAGCCACTGAACAAAAAAAAACTGCCCTGGCCTTAATTGCTGACAGTATGCTGTCAAAACTAGACAAGCAGGAAAGTGACTGCTGAACTTTGCTAAGACAAAGTAAGTTAGTCCTTAAAATTTTCTGTTTCACAGAAAAGTCTTTCAGATATTCTAAGTCTGTAGGCTGAAGATGAATGCCTACAGGAAACTTAGGTGACTGTTCAGGCAGGCAAATGTCTCTGTAATTTCTATAATTTTGGAAGTTGTTTGCTCTGCGCTTCCTGTTTACTCAGATAATATATCCTTCTCAAGTCTCTAATGGGGTTGAAGACTAGATAGTTATTGTTACAGTTTTTCTTATTACCAAATTCAGAAAAAGAGGTATTGTTGGGAGATGTCATTCTGTAAATATATGTCCAGTTGGTTTGAATAAAGCACTGTTGGTCAATAGGGAAGCAGAATGGGTAGAACTAGGAGTTGAGGGGGACTCTGAGAAAGAGAGACACAGGCAGACATGATGTAGGCTGCCAGAGGACTAAGATGTCCAGACCAGTTCTCCCTTAAGAGAAATACTTAGATTAACAATTATGGGTTAAATATTTAAGTCAGAGCTAGCCAGTAAGAAACCAAGAAAATGGCCATCAGCTTCATAATTAATATAGCGTCCTGTGTGTTATTTGGGGGCTCAGACAGCTGGGCAGGGCCCAGGTGGCTGGCAGGAAGACAACACGTAACATATGGTGTCAGAAGTAATGGAGAAGTCCTGTGTATATGTAAATAAAGCACTGTTGGCCAATAGAGAAACAAGATAGGTGGAACTAGGAGTCTAGGAGGATTCTGGGAAATGTAGTGAAGGGAGTCGTCGCCATGTGATTCCCGGGAAGAGGGGACGCAAGTCTGTGTTCTCAGTAAGATAAGACCTTATAAAAATATATATTAGTAATTATGGGTCAATAATTAAGTCAGAACTAACCAATGAGAAATAATAGCAAGTGGCCAACAGCTTCGTAATTAATATAGCCTCCTGTGTGTTCATTTGGGACTGTCCTGGCTCTGGAACCAGTCTGGTGAGAAGACTGCACATTACATACGGTTATTAGGAGTGGGATCATGAATTTCCACATAGAATGACAAAAACTTAAAAGGAATTTTAGAAACAAAAGAACAGAGAGAAGCACAGCTTCTTGGTAGCAGCATTTTTCTCAGGTGGGCTCTGTTTTTCTAGAGACAAGCAGAGACTTCCACAATCAGTGCTGGCAGTAAACTTACGCCTGCCATCTTGGAAAGAGCAGTTTAAACAGATGTGGTTTTTAGCAGGTAAGACATGTGGCCAGAAAAACATAAAGATTTACAGTAAATTCAGATTCAGATGAAGAAAAGCCTCTAAAGGTTTACAGTGTGCTTAAAAATATACATAGGCTTAAGAGAGAAAAAGACACAGGATACTGGTAAAAGAAATAGAGAAGTCAGTTGTGGTGGCACACGCTGGTAGGATTTGCTGAAAGAGGCAAACAGATTTCCATAGAGAAACCCTGTCTCAGAGAAAAAAATAAATAAAAGTAAAAGAAATAGAGTAATAATAATAGATAAATTTAAAAGCCACGTAATGATGGAAAATACACAGAGAGTCTGTATACTGTATGCTATTGTGTTTTTCAGTTGTTCAATGGCTAAGGAAGGAACAACTGCTGAAATATACTTGATTATAAATGCTGCTAAATTAATCCAACTTATATATTTTAAAAATGCTTTGACTTCTAAATTTAAATATAAGAACAGGTTACTTGGGAAAAGAGATTCCATTTGTGTTTCCACAGAAAATGAAAAGCCATGGATTCCTTCCACATTTATATGGTTCAATGAAGCAAGACCTCCTGAAGCAATGTCCCAGATGATCCAGCATCTGAAACAGCTGAGATGATGCAGCCTTACAGACTACAAAAATAAGGAATTGGCCTGGTTTCTGAGTTTTGTGATGACCCCCATGGTATGGAAAGTGCCCCCTATCAGCAGGAAGCACTTTGGAATGAACAATGCCCAATTTCCCAAATATTGTTTATAAATTTTTGTTTTCATTTAAATGGGGCTTCTTGTAATTGGTTAATGATAACAACCAATCTCTTTTTAAAGATAAAAGGGGAATATGGTATGGAAATGAATACTTTGTATTGGTATGGATTTTCATTTATTGATACAAATTTAAAGTCAATTTTGTGATATGTATATTTCTCCTTTTGATTAAGTATTATGTTTATACTGATCTTTTAAAATATAATGTATAATTAAGTACAGATTATAGATAGTTACCTATAATAGTCAAAACTTATAGTTAGGTTAGCTAGGTATATATTTGAGATAGTTTTCAAAGACCTTCAGAAAATGGCATTTAAAATGGTTTAGGGTTTTTCTTGACAATGAGAAATGTCTGCTCCTGGCACATCAATTACGTCTGAAAGGAAGATGGGCATCGAAGAAATCTTGCTTTCAACATTGCAAGATTAGCCATTTGGGCAAGAAACTGCTCTTGCCTAGACTGTGTAACTGTTGCTATATAATCTGGACATGCAGGACCCATAGAAAAGTGACTACTAAATTTTGACAGTCCTTCAGGGTTCCTGCTTCATGGAAGAGTCTACTGGACTTTCTGCAGGACTCAGAAAAATAATCGACAAACTACCAATATAGATGGACAGTTTAAAATTTCCTGCTTTGCTGAGAAGTCTGCCAGACACTGTAGTATATGGGCTGAAGCCCCAACATTACAGAGGAGACTGTCCAGGTAGCAAGATGTCTCTGTCAGTTCTAGTATTTATATATTATCCTTCTGTGGTCTTTGATGGAGTTGAAGACAGATAGCTATAATTATAGTTTTCCTTAGTTATGATAAAAGATAAACTACATATAAGACTTTAGACTCACACAGGTATGATAGATAATAAAATATTTTCTTTAAATCTTACTAAATGTTATTGACAAAATATTGTAACTATAGTTCTTACTTGATAACTGTTCTATTATATAATTTGACTATGTTAAAGTTAAAACCTTTTATGTTAGACAGAAAAGAGATGTTGGGAGATGTCATTCTGTAAATATGTGTCTGATTGGTTTGAATAAAGCACTGTTGGCCAATAGGAAAGCAAGATGGGTAGGACTAGGAGTCGAGGGGGATTCTGGGAAAGAGAGACACAAGCAAACACAATGTAGGCCACCAGAAGAGGTCAGGACCCTTTTCTCCAGTAAAAGAAGTACTTAGATTAACAATTATGGGTTAAATACTTAAGTCAGAGCTAGCCAGTAAGAAACCAAGCAAACGACCAACAGCTTCATAATTAATATAGCGTCTTGTGTGTTATTTGGGGACTCAGACAACTCGGCAGGACCCAGGTGGCTGGCAGAAAGACAACACAAGGTATAAAGTGTATAATATTGAGAGACATAAAAGCTCAAATTGTTTATCTAAGAAAATGTTTTGAAGTCTAAAAAGATAGTTTGGGGTTTGTAATACAAGTTAGGATAGAAAGTAAGTTAGGTAAAAATTTTAGACTCACCAAGATAGGATGGATAATGAGGTATTTTCTCTGGATTTGTCAAATGCAAATGGACAGGACATCATAAACATAATTCTTACTTGATAATTGTTCTTATTGTATAGAGTTTTACTGTATTAGAGTTAAACCTTCCTTTTTATTTGGACAAAGAAAGTGTTATTGTGGGCCATTTTTATCACACCCTGACACACCCGAGACTGCCAATAAAGTTTGCTTTGAATCAGAGGGCAAAGCTAGCTACTAGCTTACTAAAATTACCCAGATGTTTTAGAAGACCAAGGGCATATATATCTATATAGGAAGTAATAGCGTAGGGCTTAGAAAGATTTTTGGCCTTTTTGGATTGAGGAAGGAGAGAGATAAGGCCACTGGTCACTTCTCTGCCACTTCTCTGATCATTCAGGTTCTTAACCTGATGTCTGACTCCAGAGTTTTTAATTGATAAAGAATAATTAGATAAATGCTTCAAGGGTACTTCTACACAATAGAGACAAGGAGAAGATGAAGTATCCAGGAGACCCACTTAGATGCCTTTCAGGGTTCTTTAGCCCCCACTGAAACTGTACACATGTATCTTTAATGTACACAAAGCTTTAGGAAAATGTGGTTACAAACAGCACCAGTGACTATGTAAGGCCATCATCAGAACCTTGTTAGTAGAAAAGGGTAAGATGAGTTCCAATGGGAAATAGAAGGGAAGCCCTTGGGAAGCCCTGTTGCAGCCTGATAAAAGTTTGTCCCACAGATCTCTTTCTTCTAACTTTTCTTTGGAAGGACACTGGAGACATTGGAGAAGCTACCCCACAGCATACGGAGATAGATTTCGTGAAGGCTGGATTCTTGTTACCATGCGAGTGAACTGTTCCAAGCACTTCTCAAGGAAGAGCCTATGATGAAAGGCGCCATGACTTCAGGAGCCATACCAGTATGAATGCTACAGTTATGTCCTTCCTAGCTCTTATTAGTAATGGCTGAGAGCAGAACCACACTAGAGCCCAGGTGTTCCTACCCTAAGGGCCTTCTTCCACACTAAATCTCTCCTTCGGACCTCCTTCCCTGTTGCCTGGCTAAGACTTTATTAGAGCTTTTATTATTTGAAGGCCTCTTACCATAACCGCTCCTTTGTTTCTCCTTTCATAGCTGTTGGGTCTAAATCTCTCCTCAACTGATCCCATTCTCCTACTCTCCTTCTTTCATGGATTTTTCTCACACTAAATCTCTTGGCCCTTTAATTCTAACTTGACATCTGCATCCTGGTGACAGAATGAGTAGATCTTCCCCCTTCATTATAAAAAGAAGTGCTACGTGGAATAAGTGGAGTTAGGTCATTATTCTAAGATCCAAAACAATTTTGTCATTTTTAAAAGGTAAAATTATGATAATCAGATAATTATTTGTTGGGGCTGGAGAGATGTCTTGCCTTCACAGTTAAGAGCACTTGATTTTCTCCCAGAGAACCTGAGTTTATTTTCCACCTAAGTCAGGCGGCTCACAACTGCCTGTAACTCCAGCTCCCAGGGATCAGGGGCCCTATTCTGGACTCCTAAGCCTCCCACACATAGGTGGTGTCCACACACAGAAACACACATAGGTAAAAATAAGTCTTTAAAAAGGAAAAAGGTTTATGTTATTATTTTTTCTCTTTATTTAAATTAGAAACAAGCTTGCTTCATGTGTCAATCCCAGCTCCCTCTCCTTCTCCCTCCTCCCCCAAACCAGCGCCCCCAACCCCCTATCTGATCCCTACTCAGCTCTCAAGGGAGAGTGAGGTCCTTCATGGGGGAATCTCCAAAGTCTGTCATATCATTCTGGGCAGGGCCTAAGCCCTTCCCCATGTGTTCAGAGTGAGAGAGCACCCCTCCATGTGGATTGGGCTCCCAAAGTTCATTTAGATGCCAGGGATAAATACTGATCTAGTACTGGAGGCCCCAAAGCTTGCCAAGGCCTCCTTACTGACACCAACGTTCAGAGGGTCTGGATCTATCTGGGGTCCATGAGCTACATCTTGTTCATATTCTTTGAAGTCACAAGTTTCTTCTTTTCTCATGTAATAAATATATGGTTAGTCACTGTATCTTTATTGCTCATAAGTTAAAGATGTTATGATAAAACTATTCAGTGCTTTGTAAATGAAATAGCTCTCATCAAGCACAATAGCAAAAGCTAAAAGTGTACACTACAAACCTCATTGTTGTCTCTGTTCTGGTTAAGAACTGCTGTATGCAGCTAAGGTACAAAATTAGGTACAACACCATAGAGCAGTGCACGCGTGCTGTGTGTGATTGTAGGCTTTAAGTGGTGCTGATGTCTATCTTATTTTCCTATCACATGCTGATGTGACATTTCATTAAGGGTGGCACTTAGTACAACCTTCAGATCAGCCTTTACCCTGGGCACATAGTTTTTCTTCCTTCTCCAAAACATGTCACATACACACACAAGAACAAGGTTAATTTCCTGTTTACTGAACAAGCAGAACATAATAATTAGTGTTTAGACTGTAGTAGCTCACATTTTAATAAACTGATGATATGGAGAAACAAAGCATCTTATTCTAAAGCAGTTCTTTCTTCCTAGAGGAAAATACAATGATGATGGCTCTATTTCAATGGCTTTATTACCCTAATAGATTCTGAAATTTTCTTTTATACTTTACATCAACATGCCCTTTATCCCTGCTTATACAACTGGGAAACAGAAAATCCAAATTAGTTAAAAACATGTTAGTTAGAATTTTTAAAAACTTAGAGAAAGGAAGATTGTTGGGGAAGTCCTGTTATTTGACTGTTATTTGTCAATAAAGTACTGTTGAGCCTATAGGAATCTAGATAGGTGGGGCTAGGAGTCCAGGAGGATTCTGGGAAGGAGAAACACAAGAGAGTCAACATGTAACGCCATGGGGGTAGGAAGCCTGGAACTATTCTCCAGTAAGAAACATACTTAGATTAACAATTATGGGGTAACTTAAGTCAGAGCTAGCTAGTAAGAAACAAGCAAGGCCAACAGCTTCAGAATTAATATAGCCTCCTGTGTGTTTATTTGGGACTGATGCAGATCTGGAACCAGGCGGGCGAGAAGGCTCCTCTCAAGGAAAGCTTCTCTTAACAGAAGATGTGTGGGAGACCATGCCTGACACACCTTATTCTTATGGGGGTAAAAGGAGAGAAAATTGTACATAATCATGCTGGATTGAACACGTAAAAGAGAAGAAGCATTTCCCACACAGATTTTGAAGCATGCAGTTCAAATTTAGATTTTTCAACATCTCCTTGTATTTAACTGTCATAGGAGAACCCAGTCAATGAGAAAGACACAGTGTGCCCAAGATATTCTACTTAGAGAAACAAGTGTATAAGACATTTAATTCTTATCTTTGTTAACTGCAATAAAAGCGAAGACCAGGCCATTGTAAGGTTTAATTGGAAAATGAAATCAACAATTTGAAGTTCATTCTTTAAACAAGTGGCTCTTGATTTAGCTGCACATTAGGGAGCTACGAACCAGGGAGCTTCCACAGACTCTCCACCTAGGTTCACTCAAGATCAATTAAATTAGAATTACTGGCATTTCTAACTCTACAGGTGATTCTGGTGTGCTTCCAAGATTGATAGAGATTTCCTTGGATACTAAAGTTATTTTAAGCTTTCAAATGTATTTGTGTAAGACACAAATTAAGTGTCTGCAGCTCCACAGAACACCAAGTGACCTTTAATTTTGTCAGAGAATTTTAAAAAGTGATATTTAAAGAATGATAGCTTGCTAATGTTATATTTGATGGCTAGCTTTCCAGTCCTGGAAGTGGCTGTGAAGCCTAGTTTTAAGCCCCAATATAGAAGAGGATCCTTGCTGTGTCTTTTCCTTCAGGGATGAAAACTGAGCCCTAGTCAGGGGGTGAACTTCACCACTTCTCTTATTCCCCTGGCCCAGGACTCTGGTTGCCTTCTGGTCATCAGAAAGCAGCAGGAATAAGAATAAATCAGGGCTAATTATGCTGTCTATCACCACATAGAAGTTGACATTGACTCATGTAGGCGGGGTTTTTCTATGTCTGGGCAGTCACTCCCAAATAACCACAGAGACTTATTATTAATTATACATGCTTGGCTGATAGCTTAGGCATGTCTCCAGCCAGCTCTTACAACTATATTAACCCATTTCTGTTAGTCTATATGCTGTGCCGATGCTCGTTTACCTCAGCTATTACCTCCACGTTGCTTCTTTCACTTCTGGCTCAGGACTCCTCAGACTCTGCCCATCTTTGTCCCAGCATTCTCTCTGTTCTGAAAATCCTATCTAGCTATTGGCCCATCTTTTTATTAACAATGAGAGAAGCACATCTTCACAGTGTACAGAGGATTATTCCGCAGCTTTCCCCCTTTTGTCTAATTTTAAAAAAGGGTTTTAACTTTAACATAGTAAAACTATACATAACAAAAACAGTTATCAAGTAAGAATTACAGTTACAATATCCAGTCTACTTGTATTCGGCAAATTCAGGGAAAATATTCTATTATTTATTTTTGTGAGTCTAAAGTTTTATACCTAATTTACCTTTTTATCATAGCTTTAACTCCCTCAAAGACCATAGAAGGGTGTAATATTAACTAACTACAGACATCTGACTGACTGGACAATGTCAGTTCTTCTGTAATTTTGGGTCATCTAACTATGACCTACAGGCCTAGTATATCTGACAGAAATTTTTGTGAAGCAGGAATTTTGAAGGATTGTCCCACCTTGTCTAGGCAAGCTTCAGCAGTGACTTTCTTTTGTGTCCTGCTTGTCCAATTTGGACAGCATCCTGTCAGCAGTCAAGGCAAGGGCAGTCTTTTTGTACAATGGCTAATGTTTGTCACAAAGAAAGCAAACTCCATATGGAGATTCTTCAATGCCTGTCATCCTCTTTTGAAGTAAATTGGTGCTTCCAAGAGCAGATATATCTCACTGACATGAAAAGCCTTAGATTATTAAACATATTAAATGCCATGTTCTGTAGGTGTTTGAATTGTCTGAAGACAATATATCTGTTTAATCCTGAAAACATACATGACTACAAGTCTGATTATTATAGATGATTATTAATCTGTATTTCTTAATTATACATTTTATTTTTAAATGTGCTGCATAAACACAACACTCCAAACAAGAGTAGAAACATACATAAAATATAACAAAATTAACTTTAAATTTGAATCAATAAACCAAAATCCATACAAATATGAAATATTATGGGATTAACAGTTGCTTTTTGGATTAAAGTAGATTCAATAATCTAACTTTTTATGTCATCATTTCTATATTATAATCCCCTATTTTCCTTTAGAAATAGATATTTGAATTTAACTATTGTTTAGCTTTTTCCTTAACTCTGACCAATATCAACTTGTAACCAACCCCTATGAACAACGAAACGTTTAAAATCCACTGAATAACCAAAACTCAACTGCACCCCATCTTGTGGGAAAGGGTGTTGTTCTCTAGACTACTTCCTATTGTCTGTAGGTGTTAGTATCTTAGAGGAAACCTTGAGAAAATCAGGATAATTATTGGGTCTTGGCTGGAGTATTTTGTGAGACTGGACCATCTCAGTCAGTACCCTTGAAGCTGTTTTGTATGGAGAATTCTGAGGAGACTGTAACAAAGGCATTTTGATATTCTTGATCACCTGGGCCATCCATTTTTATTGGTGTCTGGTCTCCTTGTTCTGAAAATGCATAAACTTTTAAAGGTAACATAAATTTCTGTATTAATACAAGTATAGACTGTGTATTGTACACAAGTTAGCCAAAGATGATTTTTTGTTTTATTCTTGAGTAGATAAAATATACGTTTCAAGCTGGGTGTTGGTGGCACTCGCCTTTAATCCCAGCACTTGGGAGGAGGAGGCAGACGGATCTCTGTGAGTTAGAGGCCAGCCTGGTCTACAGAGTGAGTGCCAGGATAAGCTCCAAACTACACAGAGCAACCCTGTCTCAAAACACACACACACACACAATTCATATTTTGTAGTTTTTCTAGATTTATTTCTTTATTTCTATAGTCAGGATGTTCCGGGGGGCTTCCCCAATCAAACCTGATCCATATCAAGCTGGAATGAATCCACAGCCTCTCCTTTCATGTGGAAATAAAAGCAAAACCTCTGTTTTTTTTTTTTTTGAGACAGTGTTTCTTTGTATTTGGAGGTTGTCTTGGAACTTGCTCTGTAGACCAGGCTGGCCTCAAACTCATAGAGATCCTCCTGCCTCTGCCTCCTGAGTGCTGGGATTAAAGGCATGTGCCATCAACACCCAGCTGCAAAACCTCTTTTTAAAGTGAAGATAAGCCGGGCGTTGGTGGTGCACGCCTTTAATCCCAGCACTTGGGAGGCAGAGGCAGGTGGATCTCTGTGAGTTCGAGACCAGCCTGGTCTACAGAGTGAGTTCCAGGACAGCCTCCAAAGCCACAGAGAAACCCTGTCTCGAAAAACCAAAATAAAATAAAATAAAATAAAAAATAAAGTGAAGATAGCCCTAAAGTATCTAGCTTGGTTAAATTTAGCAGTCCAGTTCACAGTCCCATGTCTGTCAGAGCTGTCATTTGCTCACCAGCATTCAAAAAAATTTTAATCAACACAACAACACACAGGATCCACACACACTGTATATTTCCCATCCTAGGTGGTTTTTTCTTTTTATTTCACTTTTCCTATCTTTAAAGGCTTCATTATTTTTAAACTGTTTCTTTCTATGACACCTATACCCATTTTCTTTTCTTTCTAAAGCCTATGCCAATGTTAAACACATTGTAACCTGTTTAGAGGTTTTTTTCTGTCTGAATCTGTCTTTGGTGCATATCTCTATCCTTTTCTGACCAATGAGTCTTTAAACTACTAAGCAGTGTGGCTAGGACTTCTGCCTCAGCTTTGGTGGGTGGTTCCACTATGCTCCTTGGTCTGTGAGAGATGAGCTCTAGTTTTGGGGGGTTTGTTGTTGTTGTTGTCTTAGTTTCCTCAGGCCCTATGTGGAAATTTGAGGCCCACATTGGAATGCCATTTGTAGGCAGACTTTTCTGTTCCATCAGTCAGTTTCCAAATAACTACACAGAAACTTAATATTAATTATAAATGCTCAGCCAGTAGCTTAGGCTTGTCTTCAGCCAGCTCTTACAACTTAACCCATTTTTATTTATCTATGTGCTGCCTCGAGGCTCATTTACCTCATCTATGAACTTTCCATGTTGCTTTAGACACCTGGCTCATTCTCTCTGCCCCCCAAATCCTGCTTAACTAACAGTCAATCAGCATCTTATTAGCAATGAGAGCAACACATCTTCACAGTGTACAGAAGGATTATCCCCCAGCAGACTAAAATATTATAGTTCAGTGACCTGTGATAGCTACAATAGTGACTAACGACTAGCCTCATCTAACTAAGGATGAAATTTTATCATATACCTCAAAAACTTCGACAAATACGGAGATCTACATTGAGATTATTAGTTAAAGAATGGATAGTTACTGAGTTAGGAACAAAATCATAGGACATAATTCTTTGTATTATTCTGTA